ACTTAATGGACCAGTTGAGACTGGAGAACTCCCAGAGACTATTGCCCTGAGATACTCTCTAAACCTTGAACCGAAACTAACCCCTGAGGTCACCTTTTAGCTAAATAACATATTGGCTCACAAAATAAAGATCACCCGTGAATACTGTGCTCTTTTAAAAAATCATCTATATGAGACCAAACAACCAACAATTACTTTAAAACAAAGATGAGAAGGTAAGGGGGCAGGGAAACAGGATTAATGGAAATGGAACAACCAGAACTGAAATATTGAGAATGTCCATGTACTGTAAAGAATGTAACCAATGTCACTTAACAATCTGTGTAGAAACTGTTGAATGGGAACCTAAACTGTTGTGTAAACCTTCACTGAAAACACAATAAAATATAATTAAAAAAAAAAGAAAAGTCCCCAAAAGAGCCAGTTCTCTTTTGCCAAAGGACCAGGAAAGGGTTGGCTTAGCAATATAGAAAACCTTTAAACAATAACTGTTATACTCCAGCCAAACATCACAGGAAGAAGAATGGCCCCACTAGTAGAGCATCAGCAAAGGCTGAGTGGAAGCCTAGATCTCCACCCTTGCCCACCTGTACCCAGGCCCCCTCCACCTCTGGTTGAGATGATGTCAGAGAAGCCTGAGTGGAGAGCCTAGAGGACAGCTAGGACTCCATCCCCAACGGGTAACAAGACCACCCTCAGCCCCCGCACCCTCCCAGTGTCAGTGAAGACCACGTGGGGGACCTGGACTTCCAACACAAACTGTCAATAATGAGGCACCCCTCCAAATCCCTGTGGTGTCAGAGGAGGCTGAGTGGAGAGTCTGGACTTTCACCACCGCCAGAACTAATGAGGCTCCTCACATCCCTCCCGTCAAGCTGGTATCAGCAGAGATTATGTAGGGAGCCTATACTTACCCCCTCACCCAGCAATAATGAGGCACCCCTCCTTCCTCCACTAGAGTGGTATCACAGGAGGCTAAGCGGGGAACTTGGAGTCACCACCTCCCAGCTACAGTAAGCCACCCCATTACCTCTGTGTCAATGGAGGCCACACATGGAGAACAGTAATGAGACAGCCCTCCCTTTCCATCCAGGGTGGTATCAATGAAGGCCTAGTGAGGAGCCTGACCTTCCCCCACCAGGAGTAACAAGTCACCCCTCAGTCAATGGAGGGGAATCTGGACTTCCACCCACCTATGTTATTGTTGTTAGGTGCCATCAAGTTGGTTCCAACTCATAGAGACCCCATATACAACAGAATGAAACACTGCCTGGTCCTGCACCATCCTAACAGTTGCTATTATGCTTCAACCCATTGTTGCAGCCACTGTGTCAATCCATCTCGATAAGGGTCTTCCTCTTTTTCACTGACCCTCTACTCTACCAAGCAAAGTGGATGGCTTTAACAAAGAGAAACTTATTTCCCCACAGTACAGTAGGCTAGAAGTCCAAATTCAGGGCGTCAGCTCCAAGGGAAGGCTTTCTCTCTCTGTTGGCTCTGGAGGAAGGTCATTCTCATCAATCTTCCCCTGGACTAGGAGCTTCTCCACGCAGGAACCCCAGGTCCAAAGGACACGTTCTGCTCCCAGCACTGCTTTCTTGGTGGTATGAGGTTCCCCTGTCTCCTTACTGGCTTCTCTCTTTTATATCCCAAAAGAAATTGGCTCAAAACACAATCCAATCTTGTAGATTGAGCTCTGCCTCATTAACATAACTGCCACCTATCCCCCCTCATTAACATCATAGAGGCAGTATTTACAACACACAGGAAAATCACATCAGGTGACAAAATGGTGGACAATCAAACAATACTGGGAATCATGGACCAGCCAAATTGATACACATATTTTTGGGAGGCACAATTAAATTCATGACACTGGCTGAGGTGTGGAAGCTGAGAGGATGCAATGGGAAGGCAGCAGGTGTTCAGAACAAGACCAGACTCTTTCCACAAGGCAAGGCTTTGGGAAATGTACTGAATTTCTCAGTGCTTCAGTTCTATCACCTACAGATCAGGAAGAAATGACATCGGTCTCAGCCCTATCACCCCTCTCCAGGGTTGTTCTGAGATTGGATGAGATAATGGGTCTAGAAAACTTTACAGGGCTGGAGAGGTACAACGTGTGATTAGGTTACAGCTCAGATGAACTCGCTGCCAACTCACACTGACACGGTGTGAAGAGCCTAGCTCAGGCTTGGGAAGGCTCAGGAATGTCAGCTGCTTGGTTGGTGCTCTTTGATGTCATTGCCTGAGGAATCTTTCAGTGAGGTGAAAGTACATAGGGGCGCTGCCTGCTGAATTGCCCCCAGAACACATCAGCTCCTAGATTTGTGAGCCATCCCCCTGTGCCAGGTTAGCTGCTCCATGATGCTCGTCCCAGCCACGTCTCTGTGGCTCAGAGCTGCTGCCAGCACTGCACAGGCCCAGAGGGTAATGATGACGGGGTGATGACACAGTCATCAAGGACAGGTGAGCCGGTGTAACAAAGATGGGAGGGGCTGCGGGAGGAGATAAGTGGGTTCAGAGTAAACCTCAGGGACACTGTCGCCTTGAGCTAAGGTGGAGGCTCCTCTCCCCACAGCCCTGGCCTTGGAACTCTGTGGCGGACAGAAGGCCTTGAGCTCCCTTTTCCACAGGCGGCTGGTCTACTTTTAGGTTGATGGGATTTGGGGGCAGCAGGTGGAGGGACTTGCAGCCAGGCAGTGAAGGAGCTAGGCTTCTCCCCACCCCCATCCCCTAGGCCTGGATAGGATACAGGCACAGCCCCACTCTCCCGAGGCAGAAAGCTTCCATCTGTCTTCCTGAACCCTCCTCCCAGCCCTGCCTGCCCACCCAGAGCAGCTTTCCAGGCCCACCGGGTGTCCCACACCAAACCCCGCCCACCGACTCCACAGCACTCCTGAGAAGCCTGGGCCTCAGCTGAACCCTGCTCAGCCGATCTTCTTCTGTGTCTTACAGGACAAGACCTGGATCGCCATGGAATTTCTCTTCTTTGTGGGGGTCCTTGCTGGTACGTACCCATGGCCTTCTACTCCTTCCTGTAAGGCACAGGTGATGCAGGAGCAAGTGAGGGACAGGGGAAGTATGGAGGGGGGAAGGAGACAAGAAACACTGTCAGGAGCGGAAAAAGGGGTCCCCTCTCTTGTTGTTGTTGTTGTTAGGTGCAGTCCAGTTGGTTCTGACTCATAGCTACCCTATGTATATCAGAACGAAACGCTGCCTGGTCCCTCACCATCCTCACGCTGTTGCTATGCTTGAGCCCATTGTTGCAGACACTGTGTCAATCCATTTCCTTGAAGGTCTTCTTCTTTTTCGCTGACCCTCCACTTTACCAAGCATGATATCCTTCTCCCCTCTTAGACCCCATCAAAGGCTCGAGGGTGGGCTGAGCCCATGCTGCCAACACTAAGCTACAGGGCGGGTTATGGAGCATGAGTGAGTGCTCAGCGGTGAGCTCCCCCTCGTTGTTCCAAAATTTGGCCTCACTGCCCTCTGATCAGGTCCCCGTGTAATCACAAGGGCAGATAACTCATTGTGACTGCTGATGTCCCCTTTTCCCAAAGCTTAGAGACTCCAGATGCAGGGAATGGAGAAGGAAGGCTACCTCCTGCAGTCCCCACCGCCCTGACGGTCTTAACATGGTGGAAGCTGTTGGTGAGGCACTTTCCACCCCTCCTGACTGCCTAGGGGCATCACATCCTAGCTGTGTAACCCTGGGCAAGTTAATTAACCCATCTGTGCTTCCAGTCAACACAGGAAAATCAACACCTCACTAACCTGCTCGCATAAAGATTACAGCCTAGGAAACCCTACAGGGCAGTTCTACTCTGTCACGTGGGTTCACTATGAGTCAGAATCCACTCGACAGCACCCAACAACAAAAACTGAGTTGTTGTGAAGATGAAATGAATCCTCGAAAAACTCCATACTCTGGGGAGGAATAGTGCCTGGTACAGAGTCAGTGCTCAGTAATATGTGCTATCTCTCGCCCTTATTAATGTTGCTGTTAGCTGCCATCGAGTCGGCCCCTGACCTATGGTGACCCCACACACAATGGAACGAAACTCTGCCCCGTCCTGTGCTTTCCCCACGATCGATTTTGGATCAGACAGTTGTGATCCCCAGGGATTTCACTAGCTGGTTTTCTGAAGCAGATCACTAAGCCTTTCTTCCTAGTTCATCTTAATCTGGAAGCTCTGTGAAATCTGTTCAGCATCATAGCAACACGCAATCCTTGACTGACAGACAGGTGGTGGCTATACGAGGTGCACTGGCCAGGAATCAAATCTGGGGTCTCCAGCATGGAAGGCGAAAATTCTACCTGAGCCACCAATGCCCTCTCCTTATTACACAGATACCATTTCCCCTTGCGGTGTCTGTGATCACACAGAGAAGGGTGTGGTGAGGAGCAGGCCCAGGGGAGGAGCAACAGGACTACAAGGGCAGCCGAGGCACCTTATTCCTGATACTGGAACCAGCCGTACTCCCCACTCCTCTACAGATTATTTTTAAGTAACTCATTTATTAAAATATTACATCTACATATTAGAAATTTTGGAAATACTAAAAAGCAGAAAAAAATGAACATGATCTTTGTCAACACTGGATTATTTCTTTAGAATGGGTTCTTGGAATTGAAATTACCTGGTCTTGGGTGATGAACAATTGACCGTTCCTTATGCCTACTCTTGCACTGGTTTTCAAGAAGGATCAATAGAATCAATTGACATTCTCATAAGCAGTGAATGAGAGTCTGTCTCATACTCTTTCTTGGATTGAATATTATCAATTTTAAACAAAAATGATAGTTGTAAATATTAGATAAAATGGTATGTCACTTTAATTTATATTTTTATTATAACAAATGTCAAACGTGTTTGCATTTCTTGGCCAATTGACTACTACTTCAAAGTCGTCCTTTTCCACTAGGAAACTGTTGATTGTCTTATTTGTTATGAGAGAGTTTTACATGTTAAAAATATTATTTTCTCAGGTACTTTTTTCTCTGCTCATTCATCAGTGCAGAAGGAAGATCCCGCTCCCTATTTGGTGTACCTCAAGTCTCAATTCAATCCCTGTGTGGGGGTCCTCATCAAAAGTAGCTGGGTGCTGGCCCCAGCCCACTGCTACTTACCGTGAGTGTGGCACCCCCCACCGAAAGCAGCTACTGTTCCTTCTACCTCAGTGGTCCTCAAATGGGCCATTTCCCCCAGGGGACATTTGGCAATGTCAGAAGACAATACTTTTGGTTGTCACACTTGGGGGTGGGGATAGTGCTTCTGGCAACCGATGGAGAGAGGCCGGGCATGGGTGCTGCTGGACGGTGCCCACACATAGCTGTCCAAACACCAGCAGTCCCTCACTGTCAGGAACCCTGCTCTACCTGCCATGCCTCATCTCCCATGAGTGTTTTTCAAGTTTGTTACTGGTAATATGAATACATTGTATCAGGTAGGGGCCCCCCGGGAAGCTGACAGTGTCCTCACACTGGGTGGATTGGGAAGTGTTTAATGAGGGAACTATTTACAAAGGTTGGACAAGTTATGGGGAAAACGCAAAGAACAGTGAAGTCCCTCCAGAGTTGGTGTTAAGAAGATGTACTTACCACCTGTGAACTTTAAGGTTGTGTGTCACCTTGGCTAGGCCATGATTCTCAGTGCTTTGGCAGTTATGTAATGACGTAGTTTGGCAGTTATATAATGATGTCGTTAGCCTCCATTTTGTGATATAATGTAATCACATCCATGATGTGATCTGATGTGACTGGCCAGTCAGTTGTAAGAGGAGTTTCTTCAGGGGTGTGGCCTGCATCCAATATATATGGATGTTCTGGCAAAGCTCGCTGGCTTTTGCTCGCTCTGGCTCTTCATCCAGCTCGCCATCATCTGACCTCCAGTTCTTGGGACTTGAGCTAGCAGCCTGCCGTATTGCCTGCCGATCTTGGGATTCGTCAGCCTTCCACAGCCCGTGAGCCAGAAGCCTGCTGTCTGACCTGCCAACCTTGGGTTCATCAGCCCCCACGGCTACGTGAGTCAGGAGGAGCCTCCAGCCTGACACCTGACCCACTGTGGACTTGGAACTTGTTAGCCTCTACAACCTCATGAGCCATTTCCTTGAGATAAATCTCTCTACATATATATATATGTTTTCTAAATTGGTTCTCAAGTCTGGTTAGTCTTAAAGATGTTGATGACTCTGCTTCCAGTAGTAAAGAGAGCACTGTAATCTGCTAATCCATGGAGTAAGGTGGCAATAGAAATACACAAAATATCACCACCAATAGATCAGGTATTGGTGAGATGTGGGGCTCTGGATGATCACATGTTTGATGTTTGATATTGTTCTATAATTTGGTCAGAATGAGAAGTATAAGGAGGCTGAATGGTTGGTCTTACTTTTGCAAGACAAAGTGGTGAAAGAAATAGATGAGCACAGGGCTTCAGAGTCACAGCTCAACACTGCATAAATGACCTCAAAGTTGTCACTTGTTCCCTGAAAGAAAGGCTTATTTCTGTAGTAACAGAGCTGATATTGCCAAAAACCAAACCCAGAGTCTTATCATAAGAGTGGCTGACTTACAATGACAATTGAACTCCCAACCTTGAATCATGTCTGAAGTTAAAGTGAGGGCATTGATTGGGAAGAAATGGGATTCTAAAACTTGGGATGGGGACATATGGGCAGATAATCAGGAAGCTGGGGACACGGAGCCCATAAATTCCATTGAATCACTCCTGCCAACAGAAACAGCCCTCTCACTCCCATCTGAATAAATTACTCCATCTTTGTCTGCTAAGCTACCCTCCCCGGTAAAACCATTAGCCCCTCCACTCCCATGTGATGAGATTAACCCAGCTGTGTCTGAAGAGCCTTTGTCTGAGATATTGCCTGGAGAGGCATCTGACTCATTGCCTGAGGCACAGCCTGAGGCATATGCCTTACAAAACGTTGCTGAATGTTCTCAGAACACAATCCCACCACGCATTTTTGCTTCTAGACCTGTAACTAGACTTAACTCCCAAAAAGCCCCAAAAAGTGAAGAACAAAGTGTGACCCAGGAGTAGGTATGCCACACCCCAAAAGAACTGCTTTTCTAATATGTACAAACAGAAACCTGCAGAATATGTGTGGTAATGGCTATTAAGGGTGTGGGATAATGATGCAAGGAACATAAAGTTAGATCAGTCTGAGTTTATTGCCCACGGAGCACAGATTCTTCATTCAGCTCAAGAGATTAGAAATGGATATAATAGTTTATTTGGTTGGTTCGCCGAAGCATGGATTACATGGTGGCCTACACTAAATCAAATTGAAGTATCAGACCTGCCTTGGTATACTGTAGAGGAAGGTATCCAAAGGATTAGGGAAATTGTCATGTTAGAGTGGATTTCTCAGATTAGACCCACAGATTCACGATTCATACGTGGAGCAACCAGAGGACATACCTTTTGCAACAATGATGAGGAACAAATTTGTGAAGGGAGCCCCAGCATCCTTGAAGACTGCTGTGATTGTTATTTTATATGTCAGATTTGACAGTGGGAACTGCCCTAACTGAAGTAAGACACATAACAATTGTGAGGATGGCACAGGACCGGGCAGTGTTTCATTCTGTTGTACATGGGGCTGTGAGTCGGAACCAACTCAGCAGCACCTAACGACAATAACAACAACGACAATGGTGCTGATTGGATCGCATGGTGGTAGGGGCCAAGTGGCAGCACTCAGATAAGGTGGTGTTGTTACCATAATGGACAGCGAAGTTAAATCAGTAATCAGAATAGTCTGACTCATATGGACTTATGACATTGGCTACTTAATCATGGTGTCCCTAGGAGTGAAACAGATTGGGAATCTACTAAATATTTACTTGATCTGTACAAGTGGAAGAATTCTAGGTCAAGTGAATAGCAGTCTAACTCAAATTGCCAGAACAGAGAGTCACAACCCCTCAATCGATTCCCAAACTTGAGCCAGTTTACAGACCCACAACCCCTTGAATGAAGGGGAGGCTGGGCACCCTTGAGGAAGGACCCAGCTACACTGCTGTTAATCTTTCTCCCAGCCTTCCCCAAGGGATCTGTGGTCTTTTACCAGAGTGGCTGTTCACTGGGGAAAAGGAAATAATCAGAATTTTAGGAGATTACTAGATACTGGCTCTGAATTGACACTAATTCCGGGAGACCCAAAACGTCACTGTGGCCCATCAGTCAGAGTGGGGGCATATGGAGGTCAGGTTATTAATGGAGTCTTGGCTCACGTCTGTCTCACAGTAGGTCCAGTGGGTCCCTAAACCCATCCTGTAGTGATTTCCCCAGTTCCAGAATTCATAATTGGAATAGATATACTCAGCAACTGCCAGAATCCCTACACTGGATCCTTGACAAGTGGAGTAAAGGCTATTATGGTAGGAAAAGCCAAGTGGAAGCCATTAGAGCTGTCCCGACCTAGGAAAATAGTAAACCAAAAGCAATACCACATTCCTGGAGGGGTTGCAGAGATTACTGCCATTATCAAGGACTTGAAGGATGCAGGGGTGGTGATTTGCACCACATCCCCATTCAACTTGCCTATTTGGCCTGTGCAAAAAACAGATGAATCTTGAAGAATGGCAGTAGATTATCATAAAATTAACCAAGTGGTGACTCCAACTGCAGCTGCTGTTCCAGATGTGCTCTAATTGCTTGAGCAAATTAATACATCTCCTGGTACCTGGTATGCAGCTATTGATCTGGCCAGTATCTTTTTCTCCATACCTGTTTCAAACGAACACCAGAAGCAGTTTGCTGTCAGTTGGCAAGGCCAACAATACACCTTCACTGTCTTACCTCACAGAATATCAACTCTCCAGCGTTATGTCATAACTTAGTTTGCAGGGACCTTGATCAACTTTCCGTTCCAAAAGACATCATACTAGTCCATTACATTGATAACATCATGTTAACCGGACCTAGTAAAGAAGAAGTATCAATGACTCTGGACTTATTGGTAAAACATTTGCAATGCTAGAGGGTGGGAAATTAATCCTACAAAAATTCACGTGCCTTCCACCTCAGTGAAACTTCTAGGGGTCCAGTGGTGTGGGGCATGTCAAGATATTCCTTCTAAAGTGAAGGATAAGTTATTGCATCTGCCCCTCCAACAAGTAAAAAGGAGGCACAACACCTGGTGGACCTCTTTGGATTTTGTAGGCAACATAGCCCTCATCTGAGTGTGCTACTCTGGCCTATTTATCAAGTGACTTGAAAAGCTGCTAATTTTGAGTGGGACCTAAAACAAGAGAAGGTTCTGCAACAGGTTCAGACTGCCATGAAAGCCGCTCTGCCACTTGGGCCATATGATCTAGCTGAAGTGGCAGTGGCAGATAGAGATGCTGTTTGGAGTCCTTGGCAGGTCCCCATTTGTGAATCGCAGTGCAGACTCAAGATTTTGGAGCAAAGTCCTGCCATCCTCTGCAGATAACTACTCTCCTTTTGAGAAACAGCTTTTGGCTTGTTACCAGGCTTTAGTGGAGACCAAATGCTTAACCATGGGCCATCAAGTCACCATGCAGCTTGAGCTGCCTGTTATGAATTGTGTGTTGTCTGATCCACAGAGCCATAAAGTCAGATGTGCACAGCAGCACTCCATCATTAAATGCAAGTGGTATATATGAGAAAGCACAAGTAAGTTACATGAGAAAGAGGCCCAAATGCTCATGGTCTCCACTCCTATCACATTACCTGCTCTCTCCTAGTCTGAACCTATGATCTCGTAAGGAGCTCCTTATGATCAGTTGACTGAGGAAGAGAAAGCTCATGCCTGGTTTACAGATGGTTCTGGGTGATATCCAGGCACCACTCAAAAGTGACAGTGGCATTGCTCGCAATGCTTCTGCCAAAACTACCATCTGTGGACTCACAGAATACCTTATCTACTGTCATGGTATCCCACACAGCATTGCCTCAGATTGAGGGACTCACTTCACAGCAAATGAAGTGTGGCGATCGGCCTCCTAAAGACACAGTTACAGTGCCAGCTAGGTGGCAATACTTTGCAGGGCTGGAGAAATGTTCTCCAGGAGACTGTATATGCTCTAAATCAGTTCCCAGTATATGGTGCTGTTTCTTCCATAGACAGGATTCACAGTTGTAGAAATCAAGGGGTGGAAGTGGTAGTGGTACCACACACTATTCCCCCTAGTGACCCACCTGCAAAATTTGTGCTTCCTATCCCTGCTACCCTATGCTCTGCGGGTCTACGGGTCTTAGTTCCAAAGGGAGGAAAACTCCCATTTGGAGACACAACACTGATTCCATTGAACCAGAATTTAAGAATGCCACTCAGCCACTTTGGGCTCCTCATGCCTCTGGGTAAAAAGGCAAAGAAGGGAGTTACTGGATTGACTGGTGTAATTGATCCTGACTACCAAGGGGAAACTGGATTGGTGTTACATATGGAGATAAAGAAGAGTATGTCTGGAATACAGGCACTCCCTTAGGACGTTTCTTAGTACTACCATGCCCTGTGATTAAAGTCAATGGAAACTACAGCAACCCCATTCTGACATGACTACTAATGGCGCAGACCCTTCAGGAATGAAGGTTTGGGTCACCCCACCAGGCAAAGAACCACGACCAGCTGAGGTGCTTGCTGAGGGTAAAGGGAATATGGAATGGGTGGTAGAAGAAGGTAGTTCTAAATACTAGTTACAACATGTGACCAGTTGCAGAAATGAGGACTGTAATTGTTATGAATATTTCTTCCTTGTATGTGTGCATCAAATATCTTGTTTTCTTCACTTATAAAATATGAGATGGAAATGGGGAAACGGGGCTAGTGATTGTACACGTTAGCTGTATCATGTTAGGTGCAAGTATGAATTTGTAATTGTCTTTAGAGATATGGATGGTTTACGGAGATATGCCCATGTGCCAAGTTGTCAAGGGATGGACTGTGACGATTAAGGTTGTGTGTCAACTTAGCTGGGCCATGATTCTCAGTGGTTTGGCAGTTATGTAATGATGTGGTTTGGCAGGTATGTAATGATGTCATTTGGCAGTTATGCAATGATGTTGCTATCCTCCATTTTGTGATATAATGTAATCACCTCCATGATGTGATCAGCCAATCAACTGTAAGGGGTGTTTCCTTGGGGTCGTGGACTGCATCCAATATATATGGATGTTCTGGCAAAGCTTGCTGGCTTTGCTCACTCTGGATCCTGCATCTGGCACATCATCATCTGACCTCCAGTGCTTGGGACTTGAGCCAGCAGCCTGCTGTATTGCTTGCTGATCTTGGGATTCGTTGGCCTTCACAGCCTGTGAGCCAGCAGCCTACCATCTTACCTGCTGATCTTGGGTTAGTCAGGCCCTGCAGCTACATGAGGCAGGCAAAGCCTCCAGCCTGATGCCTGACCCACAGACTTGGGACTTGCCAGCCTCTACAACTGCGTGAGCCATCTCCTTAGGTTAAATCTCTCAGGGGCAAGAGGAGAGTGTGGTTCCAGGGAGACAGTGAGAGAGGGAACTTCCTGAAGATGCACCCTGTGCTCAGGGAATCCCATCTGTGGCCACCCTGCAGGAAGGACTCGGAGAATGAAGATTCCAGCCTCACTCTTCACCCTGCAGCTCCCTTCTGCTGCTTCCCACTAGGAACACAACCCAGTGAGAACCCACAGGACAAACGAGCCCACGACTGATCCCATGTGTCCCTAGGAAGGTGCAGAACGAGTGGAGTCAGGGTGTGAATAGCTCTCGTGAGGGACCAGGAGATTTCCACACTTGGTCACCTGTTCTCCTGCCTCTCTCATGGAATAGGCTGGTGCCTGAGAGCAGGGAGAGAAATGGTCTCTGCCAGGCCGCATTCTCCTCTTGCTGTACTGGAGCTCAGGTTAACAGCTCTACCACCCAGCATGCAAATGGGCCTCCATGACTCCGTCTGTAAATGGGGACAAAAACAGCATCCACCCCATAGGTGGCTCGCTGTGAGTATTGAATAGGATGACCAGATAAATCACTTGGCACAGCACCTGCACCTTGTAACATTCAACACTGTAGCTATAATAAGGATGATGATGACTATGACAACAATGATTTTCAGCCCCTTCTCCCCCCAGAAACCTAAAAGTGATGCTGGGAAACTTTAAGACCAGAGTCAGAGATGGGACCGAGCAGGTGATCAACCCCATCCAGATAGTGCGCTACTGGAACTACAATCACAGCAACCCCCAGGATGACCTCATGCTCATCAAGCTGGCCAAGCCTGCCATCCTCAACCAGAAGGTTCAGCCCCTCCCCCTCGCCACCAGCAATGTGCGACAGGGCACCATGTGTCTGCTCTCAGGGCTGGACTGGAGCCAAGACAACAGCGGTGAGTGCTCTGCCTAGGCGCGGAGATTCTCGGTTCTCCCTGCAGATGGCCACGTGCCCACGGCTGGGCATGAAGGAGGGTGGGGGCTGTCACAGGAGCCCTGCCCAAAGTCCACGCCACCACATTCCCCAGGCCTGAGAGCCCCGCCACCTCCCCCTTGGGTGTTGGTTGGCAGAGGCCACTCTACGTGGGGGGCTGCACCCCACTTCCATGTAGCATGCAGCTCCTAGAGCATGAAAAGGTCTTGAGAGTATTAACCCTGTACTCCTCCAAGACAGACCCTGGAGAAAGAAAACTCTGCTTTCACCATCCTCGGCCACACTCCCACGAATGTCCCCACAGCCACTTCTCCCTCTTCCTCATCCCTTATTTCCCTCACACACAGAGAAGACCAGGGAGACTGCGGGTGGTGGGGGGAAGGGCTACGCGACAACTGTGAGCAGGAGGGCTCCCTGGTCACGTCCCCCTCAGGCAGGCACCCGGACCTGCGGCAGAACCTGGAGGCCCCAGTGATGTCCGACAAGGAGTGCCAGCAAACAGAGCAAGGGAAAAGCCACAGGAACTCTTTGTGTATCAAGTTCGTGAAAGTGTTCTCCCGCGTTTTTGGGGTAATCTTTTCTCTATACTCAGCTTTAATGCACTTGGCACGTTTTGGTTAACTATTTAATGATGAAGTAGTAGAACAAACAAAAGCAAAAAACATGTAGAAAGCCCTCATCCTCCTTAACTTCCAAGGCTCTGGTAAGGCTGCAGCGAGCTCCATTTTTTCTTGGGTGACAGCTTTCCCTACGGAGATCATCATTCACTGCTGTTTTGGGGTGCAGTCAAGTCAATTTCGACTCACAGCGACCCCATGTGACAGAGCAGAACTGTTAACCCACACAGCGGGCAAATGAAGTCGGGAAATCTGTGCATTGTTTAAAAAAAATGTAAACTTTTCACTACCTAGAAGGGATTGCCTCAGTTGGAGTCCACGTGTTTTGCATCTGTGTGTTAGCTTTGATCTCGTGAGGCAGCCGAATGATCTCCCTACCGGCTGCAGCAGTCGATGCTGCTGTTTTCTGTCCCCTCCTAGCCTTCTGTTTTTGCTTTGTTTTGTTTTGTTTTACCATCTGTAGGGTATTTCTGCCAGAGCAGAATTCTTCGCGTAAGTCTTAGCAGGAGAACAGGAGAAGCCCCCTCCCCCACATGAAATGGCCTCAGGTGACGCTTGATGCTCCCTGAATGAGTTCTTCCTGCTTCCCTGCCCACAGCCCCTGCCTCTGCCCTTGTCCTCTCTCTGGTTCTTCTCTGCTGCCAGGATGTCCCCAGTTTACTGGGGAGTGGGGGAGGGGCAGAGGAGTAGCTATGATAGGGCTGGGCAGCAGGTAACTACCTGCATCCAGGCTCCCACAGTCCACGCCCTCATTGGAGGGTGGGTGTGACTGGGCTAGTTGGTAGGTTCCCATGGTCCATGCCCTGGTTGGAGGTGGGTGTGACAGGGCTGGTTGGTAGGTTCTCACTGTCCACCCACTGGTTGGAGGTGGGTGTGATAGGGCTGGTTGGTAGGTTCTCATGGTCCAGGGCCCTTATGTCACATGTGAGCTCTAAGGAGGCTTCTCCTCCAACCTTTCAAGGTCACACAAGGCTGGTCACAGTTAAGCTAGCCTAGGCCCCAGGCTCAGCACTCCCCTCATGACCCCCACTGTGCTGTCCTGTGCGGGGGGTGGGGGGCTTAGTAATGGGGGGGTGCCTGGAGGACAGGCTCTGACACCCCCTCCTCCCTGTATGATCTTGGCAGGAAGTAGCCGTCGCTACTGTCATCTGCAGAAACAAGCTGCAGGGGATCGAGGTCGGGCACTTCATGGGGGGTGATGTGGGCATCTACACCGATGTCTATAAGTATGTGTCCTGGATCGAGAGCGTCACCAAAGACAAGTGAGACCTGCCACTGTCTCTGCACTCTGGCTCTGCCACTGCCCATCCCCACACTCAAAATAAAATCTCCAAACAGAAGTCCTCCGCTGTATCTCACCAGCAGCCTGCATCCTTGTCCACGTCTCTGTACACGTCCCACATGCGGTGAAGAACCAGAGCTGAGCTCAGGTGATGTGGGCGCTGGCTGTGCTCTGCTGCGTTGCAGTCATGCTCAGGGTGGGTGTGACAGGGCTGGTGGGCAGGTCTCATCCCTTTCTACAGAGGAGCACAGTGAGGCTGACAGAGGCTACTTACCACCACCCAGAGCTGGTGAGGATCAGAGACTGGAGCGGAACCAGAGGGTCAGCTCCCCAACTGGTGTCTGGCCTCAGTGTGGAGGGAGCCTGCAGGCCACAGCAGACCGTGGCTCTGTCCCTGCCACCCTCTTGCATTCAGAGCACAGTAAGCACGACCCATCCTAATCAGTGTGACCCCACATTCTCAGCCAAGGCAAGTGCTCCACTGAAATAGAGTAAGTGGCCAAAGTGGGAGAGCTTAAGAAAGACTGCTGGTGCACCTTTCTGAAGGTTTTGGTCTACATTCTTTTTATTTATTTATTTTTATTCTACTTTAGATGAAGGTTTACAGAACAAGTAGTTTCTCATTCAACAGTTAGTACACATATTGTTTTATGACATTGGTTACCAACCCCACAACATGTCAACACTCTCCCTTCTCAACCTTGGGTTCCCTATTACCAGCTTTCTTGTCCCCTCCTGCCTTCTTGTCCTTGTCTCTGGGCTGTTGTGCCCCTTGCCCTGGGCTGTTGTGTCCCATTAGTCTCGTTTTTTTTTTTTATGGGGCTGTCTAATCTTTGACTGAAGGATGAACCTCAGGAGCGACCTCATTACTGAGCTAAAAGGGTATCCAGGGGCCATACTCTCAGGGTTTCTCCAGTCTCTGTCAGGCAAGTAAGTCTGGTTTTTTTTTGTGAGTTAGAATTTTGTTCCACATTTTTCTCCAGCTCTGTCCAGGACCCTCTGTTGTGATCCCTGTCAGAGCAGTCAGTGGTGGTAGCCAAGCACCATCTAGTTGTGCTGGACTCAGGCTGGTGGAGGCCGTGGCAGTTGTGGTCCATTAGTCCTTTGGACTAATCTTTCCCTCGTATCTTGTTTTCTTCATTCTCCCTTGCTCCCGAAGGGGTGAGACCAGTGGAGTATCTTAGATAGCTGCTCATGGTCTACATTCTTTTTTTTTTTTTTATTGTCCTTTAGATGAAGGTTTACAGAACAAATAGTCTCTCATTAAACAGTACGTGTATTGTTTTATGACAATGGTTAACAACCCCACATGTCAACCCTGTCCTTTCTCAACCTTGGGTTCCCTACTACCAGCTTTCCTGTCCCCTCCTGCCTTCTAGTCCCTGTCCCTAGACTGTTGTGTCCCATTAGTCTCGTTTTGTTTTATAGGGCCATCCAATCTTTGGCTGAAGGGTGAACCTTGGGAGTGACTTCATTACTGAGCTAAAAAGGTGTTTGGGGGCCATACTCTCAGGGTTTCTCCAGTCTCTGTCAGGCCAGTAAGTCTGGTCTTTTTTTGTGAGTTGGAATTTTGTTCCACATATTTCTCCAGCTCTGTCCACGACCCTCTGTTGTGATCCCAGTCAGAGCAGTACAGGTGGTAGCCGGGCATGGTCTACATTCTTAATGTCACATAGCGGATAATCTTTGCAAGAAACAGTTTATAGTTTAGTGCAGTTAGCCCAAGTGCTATCAGAACTTGTATTTATCTGACCCTGTCTGAGACAGTTACTAAGGGAAGAATTGACTAGAAAGTACCAGTTTACACAAGATTGAGTTAAGAGATCAATTACGACTGAGTGGAAAAGTTTGAAGATGGTTTCTTACAAAAAAAAAAAAAAAAGCAATGAAAGAAAGCCAGAACAGGCAAAGAGGCAACTAAGGAGAAAAAAAGTTTCTCTGTTTAGGAAACAGCAATCACGCCGCTCTCCATTCCTGTAGCCACGTAGTAAATGTTCTCTATCTGCTTCTTCTTGAGTAGACAGCAGTCAAGGATGCTAACTACCCAAGAAGCAGCAGAAAAGAAAGTCTGGCATCTGCCTTTGGTTAGTTATTTAAGGGAAAACTGTAATGTTAAGCATTTAAAATATGGGACAGCTAATTTACCTCCAGGTGAGCACTTAACCATTGTGCCACCAGGACTCCTTAAAGGACTCTCTAGCAAGGGTTAAAGAAAAATTTATTTCCATCTTGGATTCATGGATCTCCTCAGAACATTTGTTTTTTTTAATCTGATTTAATTCCTCCCTGTCTTTCTACTTGGAGCCCTTGTGGTGCAGCAATTAAGCACTCAGCTGCCAACAGAAAGGTCAGTGGTTTGAACCTACCAGCTGCTCCGCAGGAGAAAGATGTGGCAGTCTGCTTCGGTAAAGATTTACAACCTTGGAAATTCTATGGGGCAGTTCCACTCTGTCCTACAGAGTCACTATGAATTGGAATTGATTCGACGGCAGTGGGTTTGGTTTCATTTGGTCTTTCTACCATTCCTTCAGCCCTCCTGATCCTCTTCTAGAGCTTCCTTTGCCTCAGAGAGTCCCTCAGGAGGAAACTTCCCAACTGCTGTTAGATTAATAAACATGAAAACTGCCCCGTGCTAGTAGAATTTAAACTTGACATATTCAGAATTCTATTAGGCATGTACTGCCTGATATTTTTTAATTCATTCATTTTTGTAAACCCATCAGAAATTTTTTTTAAAAAAATAGACAAATAATGCAGGCTGGACGCTAAGAGTGATCTAAAAAACCCAGTCTCTCTCAACAGCAAGAAAGGGTGGATATGGCAAAGCAAATTGGTAAACATCTTTTGAAGGCTATTCCTAAAACTTCCCCCTGATAATGACTGAACAAAAATTCTGTCTTGTAAACAAGAAAAGTAAGGGACTATTGGTGACTAGAGAAATTGAAAATATGACAGCTACTACACAAAAATTTAGATGTCAAACACTACAACAGGACAGACAAACAAAATCAAAAGCTCCTTACCACATCACACCCAGGATAGAAAACAACACATCTTTCATAGGAGCTAGCCTTTTCCAATGTTTCCAGGACTAGAGCTTAGAAAGGACCAAGAAGTGGAGGTGTTCTAAGTAGAGACTGCTCATTTCTACAGATCTATATAATAAAGGCTTAGTACTAAAGCTCACCCTAGCACTTTTACTACTTGATCTACTTTAAATCTTACTGCCTGATGCCAGACCAGCTTTTATGAGTGACACCACACCCTACAACACAATTATACAACCCCACTGGAACATTAGATTGGCCCCATGACATGTATTAGATTTGCAGTACAAAAGCCTACTGACTGTGACCTGCAAATTGAACATGGCATGCCACCTCAGTAAATGGACACCTGCCTCCAGGACAGTTCCTGATATCACCCACATATTCCCCCATAAAAAAAGAAAGATGTTAGAAATAACTCAAGACGGAGTAAAACTGAGTCTCAATTTGAGACTCAAAGCCTCAACTTGAGAAGAGACTCTTGGCTTCTTTCTTCTATCCCCAAGTGTGATAATAAAGTATGACAAAATGTGGTTCCTGAGTCGGAGCTTACTCAAAAGGTGATACTGGGGACAAATGGACAAAGATGGAGGGAAGGTAAGAACGTCTCCTGGAACATCCGGGTCATGGATCTCAGAAGTAGATTTGAGTTGACAAATGCTTTTGTGGGGGGCTGAAGACACACAGCCAGGAGATACAATGCTAGGGGCCTTAGAGCCAATGCTGCTGTTTTTCAGATGTTCTCTCAACTTTTTTCTAACCCCTTAGAAACTTCCAAGGGTGCTGAATCACAAGGCCTTATTAAAAGAAAGGAAGTGTCTTAGTCATCCAGTGCTGGTATAACAGAATACCACAAGTGCATGGCTTTAACAAACAGAAATTTATTTTCTCACAGTTTAGGAGGCTAGAAGTCTGAAATTGAGGCGCTGGCTCTAGGGGAAGGCTTTCTTTCTCTGTCAGCTCTAGAGGAAAGTCCTTGTCTCTTCAACTTTTATTCCTTAGCTCCTTGGAGATCTCATATGGCATGGCATCTGTTTTCTCCCATCTCTGCTTGCTTGCTTGTTTCTTTAACCTCTTTTATATTTCAAAAGAGATTGACTTAAGATTCACCCTACACTAATGTCTCATTAACATAACAAAGAAAATCCATTCCCAACTGGGATTATAACCACTACAGGGGTTAGGATTTACAACACATATTTTGGGGTGTCATGGTTTGAATTATGTCCCCCAAAAAATACGTATATCAATTTGGCTGGGCCATGATTCCCAGAATTGTGTGGTTGGCCTCCATTTTGTGATTGTAATTTTATGTTAAAGAGGATTAGGGTGGGATTGTAACACCACCTTTACCCAGTTCACATCCAATGCAAAGGGAGTTTCTCTGGGGTGTGGCCTGCACCACCTTTTATCTCTCAAGAGATAAAAGGAAAGGGAAGCAGGCAGAGAATTGGGGGACCTCATACCATCAAGAAAGCAGGGCTGGGAGCAGAGCGCATCCTTTGGACTGGGGTCCCTGTGCAGAGAAGCTCCTAGTCTGGGGGAACACCAAAGAGAAGAAGGTCAACAGAGAGAAAAAGCCTTCCCCAGGAGCTGACATCCTGAATTTGGACTTTTAGCCTACTTTGACTGTGAGGAAATAAACTTCTCTTTGTTAAAACCATCCACTTGTATTTCTGTTATAGCAGCACTAGATGATTAAGACACGGGGGGACACAATTCAATCCATAACAGGAAGGCTGAACTGTTGATACTTATTTTTTTAAAAAAAGTCATCCTTTATGCTACATTTTCCGTTCTTCTGATAATAGCCAATCCTAGTGGGGGTGAAGTGGTATCTCATTGTGGTTTTGATTTGCATTTCCCTGATTACTAATGATGTTGACAATCTTTTCATGTGTTTATTGGCTAGTTTGTATTTCTTCTTCGGAGAAGTG